CTGGACTCTATCCTATATCAGATCATGTTTATCCTAAGATCAAAATCACAGTCTTAACTATTGAGACTTAGAATTAAAATAAATTGCAGCCAATAGACCTGGCCCATGTGGCTCAGTTGGTTGAGTATTGTCCCATGAACCAGAGGTCACAGGTTCAATTCCTGGTCAGGGCACATACCTGGGTTAGGGTGTGCACAACATAACCCAGGCAGGAGACAGCTGATCTCACATCAATGTTTCTCTTTCTCTAAAAAATCAATAAAAACATATTTTTAAAAGTTGCAGACAATAGTATACTCTACTCCCTAAGTACTTCAGCATTGATATTATCAATTGACAGGTCAATATTGTTGACATACATGAAATACACAATTTAAAAAAATATATATTTTATTGATTTTTTACAGAGAGGAAGGAAGAGAGATAGAGAGCTAGAAACGTCAATGAGAGAGAAACATCGACCTGCTGCCTCTTGCACACCCCATACCAGGGACGTGCCCGCAACCAATGTACATGCCCTTGCCCGGAATCGAACCTGGGACCGTTCAGTCCACAGACCGATGCTCTACCACTGAGCCAAACCGGTTTCAGCGAAATACACACATCTTAAGTGTACTTTCACTGTGTTGTGACAATGTGATTTGTAACCCAACCCTCTATTAAAATACAGAATTTACCATCATCCCAGAAATTTCCCTCATTCCTCTTCCCAGTTAATCACCATCCGGAAGCCGCCATTTTTTCTGGTCCTCCCACCCCCTAAGTAGATTAGTTCTGCTTGTTCTAGGACTTCCTATAATGAATTATACAGCATGACTCTTTTGTGAAAGGCTTTTTCACTCAGTGTAATGTTTTTGAGATTCATTCATAGTGATACATGTGTATCAGGAGTGTGTTCCTTTGGGTTGATGAATAATATCCTATTGTATAGATACCACAGTTTATTTATCCATTCTTGTATTGTGGTCACCTTGGATGGTGCCAACTTTTGGCTTTCTGAACATTCTTGTGCAAGCTTTCTGTGGACATATATTTTCAATTCCCTAGAAGTGGAATTGTTGGGTCATAGGATAAGTCTTTTTTTTTTCTTTTTTTTTGAGATGTGTTCTATGTCAGGCCCTGGGATAACTGCTGAGTGAAACAATCAAGGATAAGTGAGACAAGACCTTCTCTTCAAGAACTCTGAAATGTGCCTAGCAGGCATGGCTCAGGGGTTGAGTGTTGACCTATGAACCAGAAGATTATGGTTCAATTCTCCATCAGGGCATATGCCTGGGTTGTTGGCTCAATCCCCAGTAGGGGGCGTGCAAGAGGTAGCTGATCAATGGTTCTCATCATTGACATTTCTCTCTCTTGCTCCTTTTCCCTTCCTCTCTGAAGTCAATAAAATATATATTTATTTTAAAAAATAATCTGAAATGTGAGCCTGGCAAGACAACAACGATAACACTATGTGACAAACAATATGATAAAAGCAGGCCAGGCCAATAGGAGGCACAGAGGCAGTCAGGGAGGGCTTCCAGGAGGTGACTTTTAATCTGAGGTTTTGAAGGATAAATATAATTTGGCCTCTCTCTGCGTTGAGGGGACAATTGAGTGTATGAGAGTCTTGGAAGAAGAGCTCTCCAGACAACAGGGAAGTGTGTTCAAGATTTGGAAGGTTGGCTAGTGATTCAAGAAACTGTAGGTAATTCAGAATGACTAGACTATAGGGTAAGGTTGGCAGAGGCCAACCTGCTAGAATTTGGACTTCAAAGCACTGAGGAGCATCTGAAGGGTTTTAATCAAGGCCATGACTTACTCAGATCTGCATTTGGGAAGGACTCCTCTGGCTGCGTGGGTGAGAGGGGCTAAATGGATGTCTGATGGTAGCCAAGAAGAGGCAAGAGGAAGAATCCTACTGAAGTAATGGCAGTGGGCAAGGAGGGAAGAGGCTGGGTTGATGTCAAGGAGGAAGAGGCAATGTAGTTTATTGTCATCAGATAGAAGGTAAGAGATAGCAATGCCTCCCACATTCTGCCTTAGGCAACTGGCGAGTACCTCACTATTTACTGTCACAAGGAAACAGGCAACATTTTACATAATAATAGTTTTTTTCTTATAGGACTTTTGAAGTATTTAACTGGAATAAAAGGTAATAAATACAGAGTCTCCACTTATCCGTGGGGAATAAACTTTAAGACTTCCCAATGGATGACTGAAACTGTGGGTCCAAACACTATATATATACTGTTTGTTTTTTTTCTATACACTACATATATACCTTTTTAGTTAAAGGAAGACTTCATGGCTTCTCTTTGACGTATCTGAATTGCCAGTATCACTACAGTAAGTCCTTTCTTAAAGTTGTCGATGGGTCCTGTGACTTTAAGAGAAATTGCTTAAAACAATACCAATTTTACCATGAGCAAGAGTTCAGTTCCTCTGACTCCTCAGCAATGTTAACAATGAAAGGATGTTATTTGAGGACCTGCTGTCTTCTTGCGCTTTGGGGCCATTATTAAGCAAAAGAAGGGTTACTTGAACACAGGCACTGCGATACCACGAGTGGATGTGATAACCGGACAGCTACCGAGTGAGTGCCTGCCAGGGGACAGAGTGCACAGCGTGGAGATGCTGGACGAAGGGAGGATCATGCTCTGAAGGCACACGATTTAAAACTTATCCATTTATTTCTGGAATTTCCATTTAATATTTTTGGAACACAGTTGACTGTAGGTAACTGAGACTGTGAAAGCAAACCATGGATAAGGTGGTGGCGGGGAACTACTATCTGTTTTAATCAATTTAAATGTGATGTTTATTCATTGCCTTCCAGAAAAGGTTGGGATCACTTTGTTAATGTTTCCTGAACAAGAAAATGTAATCAGCCGAAACCGATTTAGTGGATAGAAGGGTCCCGGGTTCGATTCCGGTCAGGGGCATGTACCTTGGTTGCGGGCACAGCCCCAGTGGGGGTTGTGCAGGAGGCAGCTGGTCCATGATTCTCTCTCATCGATGTTTCTAACTCTCTATCCCTCTCTCTTCCTCTCTGCAAAAAATCAATAAAATATATTAAAAAAAAGAAAAAGAAAATGTAATCATTACTAAGACAAGGGATCTGGGAGTGGCCTTTTGGGCTCTTGTCACTACACAGGCCCATAAAAGCTGGGGAAGGAATTAGAAACCAACAAGAAACCTCCATCCATCTATTTAATCAACATTTCCTGAGATCTTTTTTTTTTTTTAATTTTTTTTTATAAGGCCTTGTGCTAGGAGATGGGGATATGAAGGAAAACGACACAAGACTGCTCTCAAGGAGTTTACAAGCTAACTTGTCTTTGCTCTTGTACTGACACCTGCAATGCTTTTTGCTATTATGCGCTCAGCTTTAATGAAGTGGTATTGTGCAGTGTGGCTGTCTAACCGCCGGTATGACTGCATTCCTGCAACTTCTCTGCAAAGGCTTTGGCATCTGGGGGCAAGAGCCACAGATATGTTCCCAGTGGCTGGACCTGCCTCTGGGATGTATCTTGAGAAACTATTTGGGCTATGGACAAGGGTTTATGCACAGATGTTCATTGCTGTTCTAAAGATAGAGAGGATACAACCACCTCACAATGGGAATTGGGAAAATAGCTGATGGTGAATCCCTATGATGGAATATTAGGTGATACTTAGAAATAGTATTTAAAAATAACAACACGGGGGAAAGAACAGAAAAAAAAGTGGGACACAAATCTCTAAAAAAGGTGCTCAAAGTATCCATAATTTAGTATTTTTAGGTTCTCTGTATTTTTCAATTTTTTGACAATGTGAATGTTATAGTATTTCTACAATCAGAACTTTTGAATTTCTTCCCCCCTCCCCCCCCCCCGCCCCAAATTAGGGACAATAGCAGAATTTAAGCTAGAAAGACAGCCAAAATGACCAAGATTTGGGTTATTCTGTTATGAGGACTGACCAAAATTAACTGAAATTCTACATCTTATATGGTAAAAGTTGTATGAAATGTCACTACTAGTTGCAATATAGTGAGAGCCAACTATGTGCTAGGTGCCAAGAAGGATTATTATCTCTATTTTACAGGGGAATGTTTGGCTTCAAATCCTAATCTTTTTTTTTTTTAATTCATGCTAAATACAAGCAAATTAAAAAAGGTTAATAAGCAATTCACAAACCCTGCACAGGCTTTTCAACACGTTTAAGGCATTGGCGGTCTGGACTGCTGATAACATTCACAGATCTCCAGCTCAAAAGTGTCTGGCTGTACATCTTTTCCTGGAGAATCTGACATCCACAGTATGCACTCCTTTTATTGCCAGAAACGATGATTGCCTATGGCGCGCGCGCTCACACACACACACACACACACACACACACACACACGTTCCTTTCCGGCCCTCATGTTTACCTTAAGACGACGCATTTGCTTTATTGCACAAATAAAGGATCTCAGGATAAACATTTGTCCTAAAGGCTACATGCCCCAGCTCATAAGACTTTCAGAGCTTCTGGATGTCAGTGAGACGTGCCCCGCCCTACAAACATGCCCTCTATCCGGTGAGGTGTCTGATCCCAGGCAGCACGGGCTCCCCGCCCCGGTTTAATCGCATCCCAATTGTTCCCCAGACATCGCCCCTCCCCCCTCCCGGATGGACTGGAAGGGTCAAGGCCCGGGCGGCCTGACCTTGAGTCACCTGCGGCCGCGGACTCGCGGCGTGACCTTGGTCAAGTTCCCGCTTCCCTGTCCGCAGAGCCGCGGGGATGGAGAGCGGTGTCCCCGCCCTGGCCGTTTCTCAGCCGCCGGGAAAGCCCGGCTCCAGCATCCTTTCCCCCCGCGGCTCTCTCCGCGCGCGCCCCACCGACCCCACCCCTACGCTGCCGGCGTAGAGGCCGCCTGGCGCCGCGCGGCCCCCGCGCCCGGACGCTCGTTTACGCCGCGCGCACGGGGAGGGCGCGATTCCCGAACGCAGCCTCCGCCGCGAGCGCGCGGCCGTCCCGCGGGCCGGCGCTGCCTTACGCCGCTGACGCAGCGCGCCCAAGATGGCGGCGCGGTTGTCGTCGGGGGCGGCGGCAGCGGCGGGGGCGGCGGCCGTGGCGGCAGCTGGGACGACAGCCGTGACGGCGGCGGCGGCGCGAGGCCTGGGCCGGCGGGAATGAGGAGGCCGCGGCGGGCCGGCGGCGGAGCGGTGTAGCGGAGGAGCGGCTTCCCCTCTCTGCTTCCCGCGGCCGAGCCGGGGGCGCGCGCGCGCGGCCGTCCGGAGCGGGCTCCCCACTCTCCGCCCCGCACCGCACCCCCACCGGGCCCGGAGGATGATGAAGCTCAAGTCGAACCAGACCCGCACCTATGACGGCGACGGCTACAAGAAGCGGGCCGCGTGCCTGTGCTTCCGCAGCGAGAGCGAGGAGGAGGTGAGGCGCCGGGCGGGGGGCGCCGGGCGGCGGCCGCTTCCAGGCGGGCGGGGAGGGGGCGCGGCCGTCGGGGACGGTGTGCCCGGACTCGGGGCAGGACTCCGGGGCTCGCCCCGAATGAAGTTCCGACGGCTTTTCCTGAGGCCAAGAAGGGGAAGGGAAAGGCGGTGGGCGAGGGGGAGTGGGTCTGAGCCTGGCCCTCCGGCGCGGGCCGGGCGGAAGAGGGTGCCGGCTGCGGCCGGGCCCCCGGTGCCAGGCCCGGTCTCTGGGGAGGGCGGCCGGCGGCCGGGGAGGGCGTGTGGCTCTCGGTCGGGCCTCCGGCTGGAGGTCCAGGAAGGGCAGCTCCGCACTTGTCAGCCCCGCACATGTGTGCGGAGGCCGCCGGGCACGAGGGCAGGCCGCCCCTTCCTTTGTGGCCGGGACATCGCCCTCTTCCTTGGCAGGTTAGGGGGTGGCGGAGGGATTATGTGTGGCTGTGGGGCAGCCCTTTTGGTGTAACCTGAGAAGAAAAGATATTTGATAAGATAATCTTTGAGAGTTGAGAAAAAATTTTCATTTTAATTGGGAAGGCCAGAAACGATATGTAAGGTCTTTGCCCTGACATTCCTCTACGGCTCCGCATCAAGGCCCTTGGGATTGAATTTGCTGGCAACATAGAAATGCTTTGAATCGGTTTCTTTTTGCAGAAGGCACTTAAAAAAAAAAAAAATCTCAGCCTCTCAAAGCCGTTTCTGTGGTGATAAAGGGAATTCAGAAAAGGAACGTGTTTCGTAAATCCACAAAGAAAAGCGCGTTGGAAATTCATAAGATGCCTGTGGGAATGCATTTCTCTCCTGTGCATGGTGGTAAAATGGCAGTTAAACTGGAAACAATGAAGGACAGTGAAATTCAGTGTGTTAGAGTCCAGCATTCGGCAGCGGGCAATGGTGAAAACGGGGCATGGTGTTGAAATGAGGGGAAAGGAACTTGACCCGTTAGTTATGAAAAGAAGCTGTGATGAAAGAGACAGATGGGTTGGCAGAAGCGTCTGTCCAGAGATATTTAGGAGGAAGTGGGAATTTAAATTATTGCTCGGGGGAGGGGAGAACACTCATTGTGGTGTTGAGGGATGGTGTGTGTTCCCCTTTAACACAACAGAAGGAAGTGGATTTGGAAATGTATACTTTGTGCCCTAGCATGTGTTGTAAAAATCCCCCAAACAGATGTATTTTAATAGGAGTACTAAGCAGGGCCATGCTGTAAATTATTTACTGTTTTGGAATACATACTTGAGTAAATTTACTGGTGGCAAAGCCTTTATTCTCTTCATTGTTATATCCTACTAGAGGCCCGGTATCATACTAGATGCCAGGTGCACAAATTTTGTGCACTGGGGATTGTGGGGCCTGAGGGAGGTCCCGCAGTGTAGTTTTGGGTTCTCATAGTCCAGGACCCCTTGCTCCTTACTGCTTGCCTGCAGCAGAGGCAGGAGAGGCTCCCCTAAGCCCAGCTTCTGGCCGAGGAGCGCTTTCACACACCACCAGAGAGCAGCTCCCGCATTGAGTGTCTGCCCCCTGTGGTCAGTGTGCATCATAGCAACCAGTTGTTCGGCAGTTCGGTCGATTTGCATATTAGGGTTTCATTATATAGGAGGATAACAAGCGCTGCTGGTGTAGTGGTATCATGCAAGATTCCCATTATATAGGAGGATTATGGGAAATCATGGGATCACAAGCTGTTAACTGGATGGAAAACTAATTAGCGTAATAATATATCTCATTACACTACATTGGTTAAGTGTGAGAGCACCCCACTTATAAGTGGAAGGGTATATAATTCAGTTGTATGAATGATACAAGATTTTGTTGTAAAACGTTATACTAGAAATTGAAAACGTGAGCATTTTGGATACATTGGAAATCCTTTATAGATGATCATAAGCAAACAAAGATTTGATTTTCTGTTAAAGTTTTCTTATTTACTGACATGAGTAGCATTAATATTAATAGATTTGACTGATCATGGAGTTTTCTCTACTGAATTTCTTTTTCTTTTTTTTAAATAAGTTTTTATTGTTCATATTATATTATTACAAATGTACCTTCCCCCCCTCCCCACCACCATTGCTCTCCTCCACCAGGTTCCCACCCCACCCTCTGCCCTTTCCCCACTCCCCATTGTCCTCATCCATAGGTGCACAGTTTATGTTCAGTCTCTTCCCACATCCCCCTCTCCCCTTTTCCCCAAGAATCATCAGTTCACTCCCCTTCCATACCTCTGATTCTATTATATTCAACAGTTAATATTGTTCATCAGTTTTGTTTTTTTTAATTTCCTTGGTTTTTAGATTCACTTGTTGATAGTTACGTATTTGTTGTTCATAATTTTTATCTTTATTTACTTTCTCTTCTGAAAGAACCCCCTTCAGCAAATCATATAATTCTGGTTTGGCAGTGATGAACTCCTTTAGCTTTTTTTTTTTTTTTTTTTTTAGTGAAGCTCTTTATCTGACCCTCGATTCTGAGTGATAGCTTTGCTGGATAGATTATCCTTGGCTGTAGGTTCTTACTATTCATCACCTTGAATATTTCTTGCCATTCCCGCCTGGCCTGCATGGTTTCTGTTGAGAAGTCAGCTGACAGTCGTATAGGTGCTCCTTTATAGGTAACTACCTTCTTTGCTCTTGCTGCTTTTAATATTCTCTCTCTGTCTTTTGCTCTTGGAATTTTAATTATGATGTGTCTTGGTGTGGTCCTCTTTGGATTCCTTTTGTTTGGAGTTCTGTGCGCTTCCTGGACTTGTAAGTCTAATTCTTTCACCAGGTGGGGGAAGTTTTCTGTCACTATTTCTTTCAGTATGTTTTCGATATCTTGCTCTCATCTTCTGGGACCCCCATAATTCTGATGTTGGTTTGCTTGAAGTTGTCCCAGAGGTTTCTTACATTATCTTCAATTTTCTGGATTCTCTTGCCTTCTAGCTTCTGTGGAGAAGTGTCTTCTGGTTCTTTATGTTCCAAATCTTTGACTTGATTCTTGCGGTCTTCCATTCTGTTTTTAGGACTCTGTATAATATTTTTTATTTCAGACAATGTATTCTTTATTTCTTGTTGATCCCTTATCATTTCTTTTTGACTCCTTATTAATTCTAGTTAATCTCTTTTCATATCCTCATAGGTCTTATCCATCTTTTCTAGGAAATTCTTGAAAAACCTTATAAGCGTAGTTTTGAACTCTATATCCAGTCCCTTTTTGTCCTCCATTTCTTTCGTTTGTGATCTATTTTGTTGTCGCATTTCGCAGTTACAGATGGGGCGGGGTTTCAGGGTGGAGCCTACAGCCTTGGCTTCCGTCAGCCCCGCCCTATGCGGGTCCTTCAGTGCTCGCTGCAGGCGCCTCTGAGAGAAAGGTGCCCTCGATTTTCGCCTGCTGCCAAACAGTCTATGCTCTCCCCCAATGAGCCCGGTATTGGGGTTCAGTTCAGTTGGAAGTGGAGTTGGAGGTGGCGTTCAGAGCAGACTGGAGCCCCAGTCTCCTTCCGGCCAGGGCAATCCCGCGGCACAGCCGACCGTCCCTTCTCTGCGTGCAGTGTACACTCCACCGGGACCTCCTTTCACCGCTCCCCGGGGTTCTGCCTTACAGCCCGGCTCCCTGTGGAAAAGCCTGGGTCCCCAGGGTCTGGCCTAGAACTGGGGTTCAGAGCAGTCAGAACTAGGGCCCAACACAGTTGGAGTTTTATCTCCTTCCCGCTTGGGACGGCCAGCCAGGCACTCGGCCTCCCTCCTCTCCGGCTCCGTCCTCTTGGCGCGCCGCATGTCTCCGTACCTTGGGCTTTTCCAGCTCCTCCACGCTTCCTTCTGGTTTTCTCCTCGCTTCTCGTTGTAGAATTTCCAGTCAGTCGACTTTCCTGTAGTTCTGGGTAATGTCCATTTTATATTTTAGTTATATTTTATTGAAATTGTTGTGTGCGGCTGCGGCTAGGTGTTTACCTGGGCGCAGCCATCTTGGATTCTCTCTCTTTTTCTTTTTTTTAATCTTTTTCTGAATTTCTTTTTGAATTTCTTTTTGAATATTGGTTAATGAGCAAAAGATTAATGCCTATCTTTACAGATTCAGTGGATATGCACCTAACACCTGGGAAGAACAAGAAGTTTAATGAAATGGGCCCATTTTAGACTTGTTCAGTTCACTTAAACAAGCCTGTATTAGGAGCCTACTGTGGGTGCAACACTCTAATGTTGGATCAACTTCCCTTCCTGCCCAAAAAACATGAGTAGTTTCTGATAGGATCCCTTAATTGGGAGAGATTTTGGACCAGAAATTATCTCTAGGGTTCTGCTCAACTTTCAGATTATATAATCATGTTGGCTGGGAAGAATTTGTTAGTTCCAGGAGAACTTCTATATTCTAATAGATGTGCTAGAAACTGGAAGTGTTAGCTGCCACATTGTGGGGATTTGAAATTCCAGTTCAATAGGACATTCAACCCATTTTTATTTTATTATATTTTAAAAATATATTTTTATTGATTTCAGAGAGGAAGGGAGAGGGAGAGAGAGATAGAAACATCAATGATGAGAGAGAATCATTGATCATCTGCCTCCTGCATGCCCCCTGCTTGGAATCAGCCCAAAACCTGGTATGTGCCCTAATTAGGAATCGAACCTGGGACCCTTCAATCCCCAGGCTGAGGCTCAACCACTGAGCCAAAGCAGCTAGGGCCATTTTTAAATTTTTAATTGACTTTCATGATTTTAATCAATATAGAATAATTTAGCCCTGGCCAGGTAGCTCAGTTGTTTAGAGTGTAGTTCCAATAGACCACAGTTTTTCAGGATTCACCTCTGATCAGGGCACATAGAAGTTTAACCAATGAATGCTGCATAAATGGGTGGAACAACAACTCCATGTCTCTTCCTCTCTCTTTCAATCAATCAATAAAAAAAAAGATTAGTTTACAGAATATTATTAGCATTAATACAGTAGTAGTATAAGTATAAATAGGGCTCTGGTTTAATTTAATTA